AGTCCCCATCCCTGGAGGTGTCCAAGGAACGACTGGCCGTGGCACTCAGTGCTCTGGGCTGGGGGACAAGGTGGGGACGGGGCACAGGGTGGAATCAATGATCCCGGAGGTCTTTTCCAACCTTAAGGATTCTGTGATTCCAGTAACTGCATTTGCACTGAGATTTTTTTAATTGCGTTCGCAGCCCGTGCACTGGGAGAAAACGCTGCAGCGGCGAAATCCGAGGCAGGAACAAGAAATGCGGATCCACCATGGGAAGGGAATGTTCCAGTCATGACAGGGTTAACTTTTCCGGCGGTAGGAGAGGGCAAGGCCAGGATGGGATGCGATCCCGCCCCTCCATGCGCGGGCGGGACAAACAGGAAACGCGGGAAAACGCGTTTCCTCCTTCCCGGCCGCATCCCGCGTGTTCGCTCCTCGTTCCATCCACTGCTGTTCCCAGTGAGTTGTTCTTATCTCAGCCCCCGTCCTCTGCCTTTTGAGCCTCCGATTCCCCTCTCCAGCCACCGGCTGGAATTCGGGAATTCCATCCCTAAACCCCCCCAGCCTAGTTCGGGGGCAGGAAGGGTTGGGATAGAACAGATCTGCCCGCAGCGGGTCGGGGACGATTCGGATCCGAGCACTGGCAATGGATACAGGGTGGCTGCACCTCTACCTGTGGGTTATGCTCTTTAGCCCTTATTATAAACACCCGCTCGAGCCCATCCTGAAGTATTATCCCAGGGCAAAGAAAGGACTCATCGCTGTCTTGGTGCTGTTCCTTGCGATAGTAATTTGTGACGTGACACTCTGCGTCCGCCAGTCCATTCATAAACCTGCCCGATCCGCGGGGAGGACAGGGAAGGACTATTTTTTCCAGCTTTTCCACCTTGATTACTCCTTCAGGATGTACACAAGAGCTTTTGACTTGCCTTTCAATGTTATGCAAAGCATCCTCGTTTTGCTCTGTCTGCCAAGTTTCCTCGGCACGGTCTACAACATGCTTAGAGGCGTGGTCTGCACCGTGTTTAGAGAGATAAGAGGATTTTTTAGCAGGGCCTTCCCGGCACTTGTCCCCAGGGTGTGTAATCAGGAGTGGCAGGGAAGGTGGGAGAAAATCGGCCAGCTTTTGGAGGACTATTTTCCTCCAGTGCTTTGGAAGTTCACCCCTGAACAACTACAGGACCCTGATAAAATGGCAGAATACTTGAAAGAAAAATGCCGTGACAATTCCAGAGAGGAGCGACTTATTGCCCTGTGCTGGGCCCTGGCCAGTGCTTACCGGGCACTGCTGGATGCCAGGCAGCTACCCCGGGGGCAAGAGGGAACAACGAGCAGTTTGGCCACTCAAACTGCAGCTCTACAGAAGAAATCCAAGGGCAAATCAGTGGCCACTCAAACTGCAGCTGAACCCCTGCCACGAGCAGTTGCCCCTGTCCCGAAGAAATCCAAGGGCAAATCAGTGGCCACTCAAACTGCAGCTGAAGCCCTGCCGGGAGCAGTGGTCCCTGTCCTGAAGAAATCCAAGAGCAAATCAGTTCCCCTGGTGAGGGATGAAGAGGAAACATGGTCCTCAGAAGAAGAGGAGGCAGGGGCAACGCTGAGCCTGCAGTGCCCGTGCCTGGACAGGCTGCACCATATCCGGAGGTATTTCCGGCGCCAGCTGAACGAGTCGGTGCTGGCCTGGCTGGCGCGGTGCTGGGCCTTCGGGGCACAGGACATAACCCTGGATGGCAGAGAAGCCAGGCAGCTGGGATGCCTGGCCTGGAAAGTGAACATTGACAAGGGGATCGGGAAGACGGCAGAACCCCTCAGCCTCTGGAAGAGGCTCCTGTCCAGCGTGAAGGAATGGTATCCTGCCAAGAACAATCTCTTTGTGCCCAGGCACAGGTGGAAGTACCTGGAGGAAGGTGTCCAGTACCTGAGGGAATTGGCTGTGCTGCAGGTGCTCTACGAGGGGACTGAGAGGGAGGAGTTCCCTCTGGATCCAGGGAGAGTTTTCTGTACATTCTACACGTGGCACAGGCTCCGAGAAAGCGCTCCGTGGCCTTACTCCCAGACATTCCCAGCCATCAGATGGAGCGCACGGCTCACGGTGAACAGACTGGCCGCCCGTCTCTGCCAGTACGAGGAAGAGCTCTCCCGCCTCGCAGGGGTTAAGTTCTTGCCCTTGGATAGGTGGTTAAAGGACCGTGATTATTATCTGTGCAGAGTATGCTATGAGATGCTAGGCAAAGATGGGTGTGAACTGGAATGTGGGCATGAATTCCACAGGGAATGCATCGAAATGGAAGTCTTGGAGATTTGGGGCAAATGCCCTGTCTGCTACAGCCCTGCTTTCCTTGCTGAAGACATCCCTGGGCTTCCTGAATGGAATGACTACAGCAAATCCAAAGTCGATTTTTGGGTTAAAGCAGTGCTTTAGAAGAGCTCCCGAAGAAAAGTGTTGGAAGAGAGCGAGGTCTCAAAGAATGGACTGGATTGGTTTCGTAAGGCTCAGAAATCCAGCGAAAAAATGGGAATGAGACCCATGTTCGTGTGTGTAGATGTAGCTGGGAGGGGTAGGATCTGGGCACGATGTAGATGAGTTACAATAAGGGGTGGGAATGTCCTGGTTTTGCCCAGGACAGGGTTCAGTTTTCCAGGGATCCCAGGGATATTCGGGTGGCACACTGTGAGCGTTCCCATGTGGATTGTTCCCTGGCCTGTACACTGTTAATTTGTGGTTTTGTTTCTGTTAGTTTCCTTATTCCACTGCTGTTCCCAGTAAATTGTTCATCGTTCTTATCTAAATCCCTGATCTTTTGTGCCTCCAATTCCCCTCTCCATCCACTGGGAACACTAAATTGGGGAATACCCTTCCTAAACCACGACAAGATCACAGTTCCATGTCCATTCCAACCCCGCACACACCAATCCACGCTTCAGGCCCCCCCCCAGCACGAGGACACCACGGTCAGGGATGTGTTGTGAAGAGTTCCCAGTCACCTCCAGGGAGTCCCCTCCCACCTCACAGGATACTCACACTTTTCTGATGAATCCTAGAAAAAGTTGTGTACGGGGCCAGGAACTTTGTGGACACATTTTCGTGAGGACAAGAAATGAGGATGCTTTTCTAAGGAAGGAAAGAGAGAGGGGAAAAAAAGGAATTAGACGTGCTGTTGGTCCTGCTGAGGAAGAGCTGTGACCAGCTGGGGGATCCCAGAGCCTGGAAACCCACAGAAAGGTCAGTGCTGGGCTGGTCTCCCAAGGATGCAGGTGGGAAGGAACACAGAGCCCCATCCCTGTGGGATGTCCCAGAGCAGCTCCAGGGTTGTGCCCAGCGGGAGGTTGGGATGGCTGGACAGGACCCTGCAGGGTGGCAGCTTTGGGCTGTCACAGTGTCCCCCCTTTGTGTCACACACCTCCTCCCCCCAGCCCTGGCACCTTGGTGACTTCCTGAACCAGGAATCCCTCGGAGGCCGCGATGTCCGGGATGCCCTCGGAGCTGAGCCCGCGGCGGGTGACGCTGCCATACAGGGTGGGCTTCCCTGGGAGAAAAGGGGCAGCCCTGAGACCTCACAGCACAGAGACCCCCACGGCACAGAGACCCTCAGCCCACCCTCCCTGATCAACAGGGACCCAAACTCCCCCAGCCCCTCCTGATCCACAGGGACCCCAAATACCCCCAACCCTTCCTAAGCCACAGGGACCCCAAACAACTCCAATCCCTCCTACCCCACACAGACCCCACACAGACCTTAAACACCACCAACCCTTCCTAATTCAGAGGGATCCCCCCATAGTCCCCTTCCCCTCCTAACCCACAGGGACCCCAAAACGACCCCATTAATGACTGGACCCACCTCCTCTTAAACCACAGAGACCCCCCAGCCACCTGCATCCACTCCTCACCCAGAGGGTCCCCAAATGCTCCCACCTCCCCCAACCCACAGGGACCTAAAATTCCCCCAGCCCCTCCTAAACCCCAGGGATCCCAATAATCTTCACCCCCTCTTAAAACCACAGCGACTCCCCCAACTTGCCCCCACCCCTTTCTGCACCACAGGGTCCCCCAACCCTCCTGTCACCCCCAGGACCCCCCGATCCCCCCTGACCCCCCCAGGGCCCCCCCCGGCCACTCACCGGGGCAGCGGCAGCTCAGCCAGGCCTCGCCCTCGTCCCTGCTGTGGAGAGAAGGAGCGGCCGTGAGCGGGACAGGGATAGGGAACAGGGACAGGAACAGGGGCAGGAACAGGGACCAGGGATAAGGACAGGGAACAGGGGCAGGAACAGGGACCAGGGATAAGGACAGGGGCCGGGGCCGCGACCAGGGACAGGAGCCGGGACCAGGGACCAGGACTGGGGCAGGGGGCAGGGAACGGGGAGAGGGAACAGGAACAGGGACCGGGGCAGGGGCAAGGAACAGAGACAGGAGCCGGGACAAGGGCAGGGAACAGGGAGGGGAGCCGGGACAGGGAACAGGGGTGAGGACCAGGGGCCGGGAGCAGGGAGCGGGACAGGGACAGGGACCAGGGATAAGGACAGGGGCCGGGACCAGGGACCAGGACTGGGGCAGGGAACAGGGATCGGCGCAGGGAACGGGGAGAGGGAACAGGAACAGGGACCGGCGCAGGGGCAAGGAACAGAGACAGGAGCCGGGACAGGGAACAGGGAGAGGAGCCGGGAACAGGGAACGGGACAGGGACAGGCCCGAGCCCCGCTGGCACCTGAGAGCGCGGCTCCAGTCGCTCTGGATCCGGAGGGCCGCCATCGCCGCGGGGACACCGCCCCTTCCGCGGGGACACCGGCCCTCCCCTGCCTCGGGGACACCTCCCCTGCCTCGGGGACACCGCCCCTGCCTCGGGGACACCGCCCCGTCCGCGGGGACACCGCCCGTTCCGGGGACACCTCCCCTTCCGCCTCCGGCCGCGCGGGCCGGGCTGAGGCGGCACCGGCGGCTCGGGGGTGACCGACACCCCCGCGGGGTGTGAGGGGTGCGCGGGTAGGCGGGGGTCAGGGAGGATGCTGAGGACCCGCGGGTGGGGGTGAGGTGCGATGGGGAGGGTGCTGAGCGCCCGTTTTGGGGGGTCCTGGGTACCAGTGGGGGGGTGGGCACCCCTCGGGAGTGTGAGGGGTGGGATGCTGGGCACCCGTGGGTGGGGGTGAGGTGCGATGGGGAGGGCGCTGAGTGCCCATTTTGGGGGTTCTGGGTGTCTGTAGGGGTGCTGAGCCCCTCCTGGGGGGCGCACAGAGCACAGGATTCCCCACCAAATAACACTCCCTATCCCCTCCCTCCTTCCCAGTTCTCCCATGGCCAAGCCGGGACACTCCTGGAGCCGCGCGCCGGCGGGGAAGGAGGAGGAGGAGGATGAGGAGGGCGAGGACCCCCTGGATGCCAGGATCGCCCGGACGGGCTGCCTGGAGCAGCACCGGGAGCTGCAGGAGTGCATGGAACAGCACCGGGATTGGCGGCAGTGCCAGACACAGCTCCGGGCATTCGGAGCCTGCATGGCCCGGCGGGAACAGCGGGAACAGGGACCGAGCCGGGCACACCCTGCACGGTGACACCCCCCGGGACCCCCAGCAATGGGGGAGCTGTGCCTTTCACCCCCCTTTTTTTGTGCGATTTTATTTTTTTTTATCCAAGTGCCGGGAAATCCACGTGGGATTAAATTAAATCTGGGAATTTAATCGTCTTCATCAGTGCCAGCAGCAAAGTGGGAAGGTCGGAGGGGTTTGGAGGATGTGGCCTCAATCTGCAGCAGGCTGGATATCAGGAGGAATTTTTTCATGGAAAGGGTGATCAGGCATTGGAAGGGGCTGCCCAGGGAGGTGGGGGAGTTCCCATCCCTGAAAGTTTTTAAGGAAAGACTGGAGGTGGCACTAAGTGCTTTGGGCTGAGGACAAGGTGGAGATTGGCCACAGGGTGGACTCAGTGATCCCAGAGGGCTTTTCCAACCTTCATGATTCCATGGTTGTGGATTTCCAGCCCAAAATGTCCCTGGCTCCATAACAGTCCTGCCATGGATTTCCACTCCATGTCCTTCCCAAGGCTTTTCCCGGCACCAATAACCCCGTGTCCCACTGAATGGGATTTTGGGGATGGGATTTATCTCCAGGGAAGCCCCAGGATAATTAGGAATGGGGAAAAAAGGATCCTCCTCTGTCTACCACTTCCTGGCAAATAAGGCAAGAGAAACAAAGCAAAATTGCTTTTTTGGAGGCTGGAAAGGGAAGGAGATCCCTGGCTTTTGCCAGAAGGAACTTCCCAGGCTGTTTCCCAGAAAGGTGGGTGCTGGGTTCCCCAAAATTACAGCAGGATCAGGAGCACAAGCAACACCTGGACAGCCCCAGTTTGGGGGAGAGTGTTAATGAGTTACTTTCCCTGTGTTTAGTGGAAGGTCCTTAAAAGTGGGGGGGGAAAACTTCCAAACAAACCAGTTTGGAATAGTTTTCTCTTGGAATCCACCAAATCTGCTTAGAACAGAATTCCTGGGATTGTTGCAGCACAGCATTATTCACCTGCAGGGATTTCTGTGGAAATTCCCACCCGTCAAAAGCAGAACAGACAGGAATAAAAGAATAAGGAAGAACTGAAGGAATGTAAAGCCACATTCCATTGTGTGGAATTCCACTGCTCCCAGTACAAACCAGTCAGGTATAAACACATTATTCATCTTTATTGAGACAACCAACAGTGGGAATTCCTTCCAATTCACCGAGTTCTCAGCACAGTGCTCATGGAATCCCCCTCTGGAGGCTGGAGCAGCCCCTGGATGGAGCAGTTTTCCTCACTCAGCCCATCTGTGCCAGCAGCTCTTCCAGCTCTGGCCGAGCCTTCAATCTGCTCTTGAAGTCGGCTTCTGTGTGCTGTGGAGGGAGGGAAAACCAGCCAAGGAAATCAGGATTAACAGGAAAAACTAAAGGCTGAAATGCCCTGGGAGTGGGAAGTCACTCAGTGCTGGAAAACTGTTGGGCTTCTCAGAAAACCCAAGTTTAACCCCCCACTCCAGAGCGAATTCCATCAAAACAGGGCACAGTGTTTGGGTTTCCTGTCTCAGCTTTGCTCCCAACTGCTCCATGAAGCTCCTGGGGATTCCAGGATAAGTGGTGGAGCAATGGTGGAGTGAAACATTCCCTTTGGACTCATGTGGCAGCAAAGGAAAGGAACCTGCAACCTGCCATGTCCTGTGGATCTGTGGGACTGGCTGGGAAGTGGCACCAATTAGAGGAGGTTAAATGGGGAAGGAAGGAATTGGAAGCAGTGGGTTTTCATGGAGAAGGGAGGGCCTGGCTCTGGGACATCCTGGATACCCTAGGCCCAGAGCAGGAGCAGCCTCAGGAATTTCAAAAGAAATTCCTGACATGGATCATCTCTGCTCCTTGAAAGGAAAGGCACTGGGAAATGCAAACATACCTGTTTGATGAGGAGATGGACCCCCTCGGGCTGGTTACTCTGGATAACCTCCAGGAGTATCGGAGCAAACGTGGAACTCAAACCACTGATCTGAGGGAAGGAATGACAGAGCTCCAGGACAACCATCCCAGGACAGTTTGGGTTGGAAGGGACATTAAACATCATCCCATTCCACCCCCTGCCACGGGCAGGGACACCTCCCGCTATCCCAGGTTGCTCCAACCTGGCCTTGGACACTTCCAGGGATCCAGGGGCAGCCACAGCTTCTCTGGGAAATCCATTCCAGGGCCTCACCCCCCTCACAGGGAAGAATTTCTTCCCACTATCCCATCTAACCCTGTGCTTTGTCCACATGAATCCATTCCCCCTTGTCCTGTCCATCCATCCCTTGTCCCCAGTCCCTCTCCAGCTCTCCTGGAGCCCCTTTAGGCCCTGGAAGGGGCTCTGGGGTCTTTTGAAGCTGTTCCTAACAGTATTTTTAAACTTCATGGAATTTTTCCAATCATCCATCCTTAACATGGCTTTTCTAGCTCTTGTATGGAGCATTCTGCAGAAAATGGGTAATAAATGTGGTGCCATAAAGCCAGGAAACCTCTTCCTGCTTCCACTTTGGGGGGAACTTTCAGTAAGAGATCAAATTAAGGCTTTATGCCCAAATTACACCTTTCAGCTCCAGCTGTGGAGGGGTTTGGAGAGCCTGTGCTGCAGGAGAACCACAGGAATATCAGGAAACAGCAGTTCCTACCTGGACAACCCTCTGGTGGGTGGTAAGGACTGCATCCAGCTGCATCTTGGATCCTTTCTCTTCCAGGAACAGCACCTCGTTGGTTTTGGTGGGCATGGCATAGCTGGGGGAGCCAGAGGGCAAAGCTTAGGACAGGCAGGACATTCCCTGTCCTAAGGACATTCCCAGTGCTCCACAGGGATGGATCAACCATCCAAGGAGATGAACTTTCCATGAGGAATTAATTCTGCAAACAATGTGTCCTGCAAAGGAAGCACTGGCAGAGGCCAGGGTTTTATGGGAGGGGGATGAAGGAGAAGCTTGGAGCACCTGGTGCCAGGAAAAACCTGGACTGGCTCCAAACACCAGCCTGAGACATTTTACATTCTCTGTAGTTGAAGGAAAGCAACAGTTCTGACTTATTTTGTCATCAGGGACAGAGCTAAAAACTGCTGCTGCAAAGCACCACTCCAAAGACGTTGTTCTCCCCTCAAATTTAACAGGAATACGACTGGGCAGTGGAGCAGACCCTGCTCCCAGCAGGATTCCAGAGACCTCAGCATCCCAATCCCCATTTCCACAGCACCAATTACATCCTTCTGCCCACCTTTTCCACTACAATTTTCACTCCAAGGGCAATTCCTTCCTTTCTGGACACACTGAACCAGGTCCAACCTCAGAGGGCGGAACTGAAAATCCACGTTTTGGAGAATCCACCACTGTTTTCATTCCCTCATGGCAACTCAGGGCTTCTCCCAGTGCCTGCAGCTCCTTGGGAGCACTTCAGCACTGAGGTGCTTCCTCACATCCCTCAGGCATTAAATCCCAAGCTGCTGTTGGGAATAATCCTGTTTGGGATCTGGTGTTTACCTAAAGCATCCTCTGCTCCCAAAGTGAAGCAGCAGGAAGCTCATCCAGCACCTCAAGGGCTTTCCCAAGTTCATTCCAGTTTGGATAACCAGCATCACTCACTGCACAGAGCCTGGATCAAACACCAGGAAGGAAAACCAGCAGGAAATGTCAGGTTTAAAGCCTTAAACAATAACATTAAACCCAGAGGCTTAAAGCCCTTTTTTCCTCAGAGGAATGAGATGGAGCCAGGTATTTTTTCCTTGCTGGAACAAGCCCATTTGAACCTTCCTCATGTGAATAAACTCACAAAACTGTAGGGACACACAGAAAGAGAACAAGGGGCGGAGCAGAGGTTTGGATTTACATCCACATGGGAATCAGAAGGACTGGATGGTGCCCTGGTCTCCGAGGTGTCCCTTACCTCTCGTTGACCTTGATGGAGAGCCTGTTGCAGAGCCTGTGGACATACTGGGCAAAGTGCTCCACCAGGCACATGTCGTAGGAAGTCATCTGGATGTTGACATCTCCATACTCAAACTCAGTGCCAGGATTGATCTCCTTCATCTGCACTCTGTCCTTTTTCTTCTTTGGAGTCTGTTTTCCAAAACAAAACAAAACAAAACAGGGAGTTTTGAGCGACGCTGGAAATAAAACCCCGCCGGGTCTCCCGTGGGGCTTCTCCTCTGACAGGGGTTTGTCAGCCACATCCCAGCCCATCCCTGCTCCCTCTCCCTGCCTAAAAACTGGGATGGTGTTATCCTGACAGCTCTTCTCAGCTCAGTTCTTGGATGGCAGGAAAAATACCCCAGAGAAAACATGTCCGTATTTTTAATTTCTTCCAGAGAAAATTAATTTCTCCCAGAGGTAAAAAAAAAAGAGGGAGTAGAAACAGCAGGAATACAACTCCTTTTTCTTTCAGGTCCTGTGCACAAGGCAGCTGGCTTGGTGTTGTTTCCTCCTTCCACAAAAAGTGGTCATCTTTCCAGGGAATGTCAAAAGGTGACATGAAAATAGGACCTGCTCACAATAATTCAGGTGTGAAATCCAGCAGGAGGAGGAAATTTCTCCCTCCCAAGGGAATTTCCACGGGAATGTGCTGGACAAAATGAAGGCTCTGAGTGGGGGAACTTCATGGAATCATGGAATGCTTTGGCTTGGAAGGCATTTTAAAGCTCATCCAGTGCCATTCCCAACCTTCCGCTATCCCAGGTTGCTCCAACCTGGCCTTGGGCACTCCCGGGGATGGGGCAGCCACAGCTTCTCTGGGAATTTCATCCCAGCCCCTCCCCACCCTCCCAGGGAAGAATTCCTTCCCAATATCCCATCTAACCCTGTGCTTTGTCCATGTGAATCCACACCCCCTTGTCCTGTCCCTCCAGGAATGTCACACAACATTTTTCCCCAAGAGAAGCAGCAGGAAACGATGCCATTATTCCCTTTGGATGTGATTTATCAGCCATGGAATTCATAAAATAATTCCTTCTGCCTACCTCTGCTGGGAGCAGGTATTTATACCTCCCAATTCCATGAGTAGGACGGGCTTTGTAGGATCTGTGGCAACTCAGGAGAGCAGCACCTGGAAATGGAAGCAGAACTCCTGTCCCAACTCCCAACTCCTGCTGGGTGTGGGCAGCCACAAATAAGGAAGGAAGAGATTAAAAATATTCACTTCTCAGGTGAACTCTCAAGGCAACAACAAAGAAGAATAAAAGAGGGCTGTGGGTAGTTTGGGAGACCAGGGAAATGTTACAAAAAAAGAAAAAAATTGTTAGGAAAAAACATATGGAAGTGGAAGAGCATCAGCTCAGGTTATTTAACCAGCCCAAAATTGGCTAAAAAAACCCCTTAAATTAAAGGAAACACAAATGCTCAATTTATTTGGGTTAACAACGGACTTTACCTGCAGCACACAGATGGTTTTCTCTGGGTGTTGATGCTCTGGAGGAAACAAGACAATGATTAAAAGTTCTGTAAGAAACAAGATAATCATTAAAAGCTCTGATTTCCCCCACCCATGGAAAAATATGTGGCAAATCTCCTCTGGCCATTTTTGGGGTGTTTTCAATGCCTGTTACTGCGTTTTACTCCCTGGTTTCAGGCACTCACCTGCTAAGGGCAAACAGCTGCCTGAGCATCGCTCCCTTCTCCCAGCACAGCGCCTGGAATGGCCGAAACACAAAGAGAGTGGTAGATCCTCAGGGAATTGTCACCAGCACCCCCAGATTACAGCAGGGACAGGAGCCAGGGGACGGCTGGAGCTGTGTCAGGGCAGGGTTAGGCTGGATATCAGGGAAAGGTTGTTCCCCCAGAGGGTGATGGGGCACTGAACAGGCTCCCAGGCCCATCCCTTCTCTGTGTGTCCCCCATTCCCGTTCCCATTCCTGATCCCTGTACCTTCGGCACCGCCGCCATCATCCCATCCTCGGTCCGTCGCTCAAACCGTCCCCCCACAGGGCCCCGGTGCGCCAAGCCCGGGTCCCCCCCGCCCCACGGCTCCCGCCCCGCGTTCCGCCCACCGACAGTTCCAATTTTCGGGCAGCTCCGCGTTCCGCCCGCCAAGGCCTCACAGAAGCGGCAGTTTCTGGACAACCCGCGGTGCTGGCGGGGCCCCGGAGCCCTGCGGGAGGCGGCGGGCAGGGTGCGGGGGTCCAGGCGGTAATGGCGGACACCTCATCTCTCCGTCCCCGCACACACCGGGCAGCGCCGCCTGGCGGCAGCAGCTGCACAGCGCGCCCCACCCTACACCAATCACCGCGCGCTTCGCTGGCTATGGCCCGCCCTCCACCCGCTCCTCGCTCGCTGATTGGGCACTCGTCGCGTCTATCACGGCGCGGCGGCCATGTTGAGTGTGGCGTGGCCACGTGGCGGTGTCGTGTATAGCGTCCGACCCCGCCCCTGGAGGCGCCATCTTGAGTGTGGGTCCGGCGGCCATCTTGAGTGTGGGTCCGGCGGCCATCTTGAGTGTGGCGTCGCGGCGGCCATTTACTTCGTCCTTTATTTTTATTTCTTTACTTATGTCTTTAGAATGACTAAATCCTGAGTGCAGGAAGGTTGGGCTGGGAGGGACCTCCTCCCTGATTTCCCAGCGGCGAGAGACAAGGTGGGCACGGGGGTCTGCCTGGGAAGAGATGGACTCTGTGCGGTCCTTGGAGCCCCCCAAGCCTGGACAGTCTGGAGTTGGCTCAGGAAAACCCATCCCGTGCCAAACTGCCTCCTCCTGCCTCTTCCAACAAACCGTCCTTTCTCCCAGGCTCTTCCCTGCTCCCTTCTCTCCTGCCTAGCCCCGCTTTTCCCCCTCCTTCCTTGGCCGATGCTCCAGAGCCCCCATCTCAGATCTGTTCCTCCTGGGTGGATCAGCTGGAATTTTGTGTGAGGCCTCATTCCCTCTCCAATTGCTCTCGGCAGGAGCTGTCAGGGCTTCTGGTGGACTTTCTCCCTCCAGTTCATCTGAGTTCATCCACGTGGCAAGTCTCCTAGTGCCTTTGCTTCCTGGAGGGAACGTGGAGGGGGCAGAGGGAACCCACCTCACCTTTGCTCCCTCCTCCACAACGCAAGGACACAGATTCCCAGCTCCAAGCTGTGTTTCCCTGCCGCTCCCGGCTCATGACAGAAGGGCCCACGTGGATGTTGTCCTGCCCTTTGATCCCACCTGGCCAGCCCCAGGCAGAGGGAATGATGCTTGAGGAAGGAGCCTGAGCTGGGTTAAGGCCGGCACTCCCATTCCAGAAAACCTGGGCTTCTCCTCCCAGGAACTTTGAATCCCCAGAGGAAACTGAGGAGGGGCTGCTGTGCCTGGAGGGGACTGGCTGGGCCTGTGTTTTTGAGGAAGTTGTGATGAGCACCACCATTAAGAGCACATCCAAGATGACTCCTTATTCCATGCCCTCAAACGCTGAGTGCCCATGGAATGGGGCTGCACCCCTTAATTCCCTTTTCCCCTCCTGGAAGCAGATCACTCCTCTCTCCATGACAGCATCTTCCTCATCTCTCCTGCTCTTGATTTTCCCTGGATACAAAGATAGTGCTGCTCTTGGCAGCTTGTTCTGGTGGCTGAGCAGCCTCCCTGTTGGGAACATGGCCCTTATTTCCAACTGGAACGTGCCTTTCTTTGCCTTTTGAATGTTTCACAGCCAGGGAGCAGAATCCCTGTTGCAGGAGCGCAACCTCCCAACCTTTCTGTGACATTTGAAAAGAGAAGCTGAGGTGACTCAATGATTTCCTTTTTTATGTAATGCACTAAAAAAAACACCAGGCAGCTTTTCCTACTTTTTTAAAGGCTTCCCAGGCTGCAGAGAGGGATTGTTTCATCCATCCTTTTCTGCCTCACTGCAGGTTTCTCCCTGCCACAGAGCTGGATGTGCCCACACAGCCGGAATTCTGGCACCTGCCCCTCCTCAAGCAGCAAACCTGGAGGAGCAAAGCTGCCCTGGGAGAGTGGAGATCCAGCACCTGGAAGTTTCCACTTCTTTTCAGGCTTGTCCCGTGACAAAAACAATCCAAAAGTGTTTAAATACACCGTGGAAGAAAACCTCTGGTTTTCTGTGTCTCCTCCTCTGCCTTCAGCCATTGTTTTCCATGGGATCTGCAGGAAAGATCCCAGAATCCACCCTGACACATAAACAAGGACAATATATGTATTTAAAATTTGAAAATATTTAAAGCAGGTCTCTGACAGTCTGAATTGGTGCAGGAGAGCAGCCACACAACTGCTATGGATGTGCTCCCAGATGCTGGGTGTGGAGCTGGATGTGAGCTCCTGCTCCTGCTCAGATCTTCATTAAAACTTGTTTAAATTTAATCACCTGGTTAAAGACACTTTTTCCTCCTTTAGTTCACTGGCAGTTCAAGGCCTGGAAAACAAAGCAAAACAACACCTTGGAGAAGCAGTGAATAACATCGAGGGAGTATAAATGAAACAATCAAAAATAGAAAGGTTTTCAAAGCAGGGGATTAAACAAGCATTTCCCTGACCATCAGAGCAGAGGGGCTCTGGAACAATCTCCCAGATGGGAAAAAAGGTGGACAACCTACTCGATTCCAGGTGGAAAATACCCTGTGGAGCTTTATTTGGACCTTGTTGAGTAGATTATAAGAGATTTGGACCAACATGAATACGACCATGGGGCAGGAGCTGCAGACCCCGGGGGGCTCTGTCATCCAGCACGTTTTTGTTTCAGTGGGATATTCAGTTATTCAGTGGGAGCAGCAGGTGAAGCCCCAGGAACCCCCCAAAATCACATTTTGTGTTCACATTCCAGCCAGAGAGTCTCGATCAGGACGGGATTGCACCAGTGTGGGAGAGGAGGGAGCAAGGCTGCACTGACAGGAGACATCCCAAAGCCAAGGTTTAACCAGGAAGGGCCAGGATGCAACTGGGAAACTCCTAATGCGCCGAACCTTGAGGGCAAAATGGGGAGAAATGGGCAAAAAATAGCTATAAAGGGAGAGCTGGCCCCAAGGCAGAGGGTCCCCTGCAAAAGGATGAGTGGGAATCATTGACCTTCCTGGAAAATGTCACCCTCTCTGAGGGATGTGCTGGGGACATCGTGGAGCGAGGGTCTCCGGAGATGCTCTGAGAGGAATATCCGTATCCATTTGGGATTAAGCCTTTGGTTTGAAGGACTGTGCTGGTTCCTCCCCGGAGCCCGTGTGGGCCGGGCACATCCTTGTGCTGTGCTGACGCTGAGGCTGTTTCGGTGACGTGGTGAAAAGTGGTTTTATTGCAGCTGGAGAACTGGTGGGAGCTCCCACAGCAGCCAAAACGGCCCAGATCTGCCCCAAAAAGGGCTCCAGGGGCTGGATTCCCTCTGCTCTGGGACAGGCTGGAGCGCCAGGGCTGTTCACCTGGAGAAGGGTCTGGAGAGACCTGAGAGCCCCTTGCAGGGCCTAAAGGGGCTCCAGGAGAGCTGGAGAGGGACTTGGGACAAGGGATGGGGGGACAGGACAAGGGAAATGGATTCACATGGACGAAGCACAGCGTTAGATGGGATACTGGGAAGGAATTCCTGGCTGTGAGGGTGGGGAGGGGCTGGAATGGTTTTCCCAGCGGAACTGTGGCTGCCCCATCCCTGGAAGTGTCCAAGGCCACGTTGCAGCACCCCGCTCTGGTGGAAGGTGTCCCTGCCGGCGGCACGGGGGGCTGGAACGGGCCGATCCCTCACGTCCCTCCCGGCCCGCCCCATTCCCGCTCCGTGAGGGCGGGGAGGCTCCCAGGGCGCGTGCGCGGGGCGGGCGGAGCGGCGGCTCCGGGAGCGCGGGGGGGGGAGAGAGCGGCGGCACCGACACCGGCACCGACACAGAGACAAGACACAGACACCGGCACCTCACCGGGCTCCGCAGCCTTCGCCGGGGAGCGGCAGCACGGGGAGGAGGACGAGGAGGAGCAGGAGGAGGAGAAGGGCGGAGAGCAGCGGGAGCGGTCGCGGGTCCCGCCGCGGGGAGCGGAGCGAGCGCGGGGCGGCGGCGGCGGCTCCTCCATCATGTCGTCGGGCGGGGACTTCGGGAACCCGCTGCGGAAATTCAAGCTGGTGTTCCTGGGCGAGCAGAGCGGTGAGTCACCGCCCGCCTCGGGCCGGGAAAAGGGGGGGATCCCTTCGGACACCCGCCCGACCTCGGGGGAGCAGGAGGGGACCCCGCTCGTCACCCTCCGTGACACCCACCCACCCACCCCCGTGGGGGCATAAAGGGACCCCACTCCTCACCCTTCCTGACACCCACCCACCCCCGTGGGGGCATAAAGGGACCCCACTCCTCACCCTCCCTGACACCCCCCCAGCCTTGTGGGGGCATAAAGGGACCCCACTCCTCACCCTTCCTGACACCCACCCACCCTCGTGGGGGCATAAAGGGACCCCACTCCTTACCCTTCCTGACACCCACTCACCCTTGTGGGGATGTAAAGGAACCCCACTCCTCACCCTTCCTGACACCCACCCACCCTCGTGGGGACATAAAGGGACCTCACTCCTTACCCTTCCTGACACCCACTCACCCTTGTGGGGATGTAAAGGAACCCCACTCCTTACCCCCTCTGACACCCACCCACCCCTGTGGGGGTCCCTTTCACTCCCATCCTCTCATAGGGGTCTGAGAGGATCCCCCTCCTCACCCTGCCTTCTGCCCCTATGGGGGTCTGAGAGGATCACCCTCCTCACCTTCCGTAGCACCCACCCACCCTCATGGGGGTCCCTTTCACTCCCATCAACCCACACAGCCTCCTGGGGTTCTGAGAGTATCACCCTCCTCATCCTCCCTGGCACCCACCCACCCTCCGTCCTGGGGGTCCCTGACATCCACCTACCCTCCCGGGAGTCTGAGGGGTTCAGCTCTGGTTTAACCCCCCCCACCAAAGCCTGTCTGATTCAGGAACAGTTGCTGATTCATTTGATCCCGGCCCCTCTGGTTTTTGGGGGGTAGGAGCCTCAATCCTCGCTGTTTTCCGTGTAAATACAGCGTTTTTCCATAATGGAGTTCTGTCTTGGCAGAGCAACGCTCTGAATATTTAATTCAGCCAGTGAGGTTTTCTTCCCTGTCTCTGGAATGAAAAAAAAAACCACCCAACCTAAATGCTGTCTCCTCCTTCCTCAGCGGAAGGCCTCTCTCTCCATTACTGCATTCCACATTTTCCCTTGGAAGAGTTTTCTGAAAAAAGCAAAAAAAGCTCCTTTATCAGCTGCTTTGTGTAATCCTGGTGAGAT